CAGGCCCTCCCTGGTGGTGCAATGGCTTGGGACACAGCACTACAAGCTGGCCGCAGCCGCTTCAGTGTGTCCCGAGCTGGGAGGTGACCCACATGGCGCGGCAGACCTCTCTTGACCCGCCCGCTGCTCCCCTCAGCAGTGTACTTCGTCAGTCAGTCGGCCTGTTCTGCTCCCCGCTCTGTCTCTGGCGAATCCTCTCACCGCCACTGCACCTCTGGCTTATAACCAAGTTCTGTATGCATAAATAAATAAATCTTGAGAAAAAAAAAAAAAGAGTGAGAGCTTTCCCTGTTGATCACACTGTGCTCATCAATGCGAGGTTCTAGCCCAGTGCAGTTCGAACATGTTCCTCCAGCAAAGCTATGAAGAAGAGACTGTTATTCCCAAATTACTGATGAAGAAACTGGGACACACAAAGCTTAGCGACTCCCCTGTCCCACAGAGAAGTGACTAAGGGAGGTCTGAAACCAGGAACCTAGAGGTTCCCCTGGGAACAGAGAAGAGATGCTCCTTGGGGTAACCCCAAGTCTCCGGCTGGATTTTCTTCCTCAGAAAAAAAGAAGGGATGTGAAAGTATTTTCCAGAGATTGTTTGCTATTAAATCTGAAATTGAACGCCCTTAAGGAACAAGCTCCAAGCTCCAGGCAAATCATCCAGCAAATGCATTCTGTGAAACCAGCTAAAAAGCATTTTCTCACCTGAGAGGTGAGTTCTAAAAGAGTGTGGGCAAGCATAGTTCTCTAAATTCTAATGTAGTCATGTTTATAGTTATAAACACAGAAATGTAAACTACTTTTTAATTGATTTCATATAGGTGTGAATATTTGTAGTAAGTATGTGTGAATTCATCTTTTTATCAATTACAAAGCACATTTGTGATGAAAACTACAACTTCACCTAACTTTTATTTTATAGATATGGATTCCTTTAATAGTCAGGCTTAATGTCAAATATTGTCATCCATGAAAAGGAATCATTTCTGTTCAGGTTGCCTTTCTACATTGAACCAACAACTAATCATTTGAGGTTCTTGAGTCTTACAGTATATGGCGGGGCAGTCTACAAACACAGTTTCTAATATACAAGTTGTTTTTGAATTATAAGCAGCAACTCAGTAATTAAATTCATTCTGCTTCAACTTCCCAAAACTCACTGGAGCTTTTTGCAAAAGCATTGTCATTCTCAGATTTTCCCTTAAACTCTTCATGCTCATTGCATGTGAGCATTTGACGGCCATAAGGACTTTCTGGTCCCTCAGGGCCGGCTTTTTCCTCAACTTCTCCCTCTTTCACTCACGGAGCTGACTGTCATGGGCACCTCAGACTTCAGACATGGGCTTTGAATCAGCTTTTGCAGTTCTGGAAATATCTCTAAAGATTCAAGAGGAAAAATTATACCCCTGAGACAAAGATGTATTAATTCACATCATGTAACTCACAGGTGTCTGAGCGCTTGCATAGGACAGACTTTGATTGCTGCTGTTGTTTTAATCCGCCATCCAGTGGGAAACATACTTTTTCCCTTGGAGGCGTCATTTATGTAGGGATTGGAAAGAATTCATTAATTGGATATCATCCAACATGCCAAGAAATGGGGGGCAGACAAAGAGGGGGTCCTATCAATCTTCCTTCTGACAGACTCTCTCAGCAGTGATTTCTGAGGAACAGCCTGAAATATTGACCCAATTTGCCACACCTCGCCAGTTGGATTTTCAGCGGGCCCTGCAGTGCTCTGATTTTCACAGGCTGAAGGACCAGGTGAGCATACTAGGGAAAGCCCTCAGCCTCTGAGGACCTGGACAGCTAACTCTGAGTCTCTGCCTTATTTTCCTTACGCTTGGCACAGAGGCCTGAGAGTATGCCGGTCACCAGCTCCTGGATGACAGCCCTCAATGGCAGAGCGAAGGCACTGGAGTGGGCAGGACAGGGATGCCTGGGAATCAGCCAGTTAGGGGGGCTGCTGGAACCCAGGGGTGAGTCCACAGGGATTTGTCCCTGCTGTAAGTCTCATGAACACAAGAGGGACACCTTCAAGCCCTGAGGTCAACACCCCAAGACAACTTTGAGAAAGCATCTTCTTTTCTCTTTCATACCAAGAGCCAGGCCCTGGGCCAGAAGTCTTCACTTCCACGCTCCACTTGGAGAAGCATCTTGGGTGACGACATCAGTGCCGGGAGTGAGGCGGCACAGGAAGCCAGAGAACCCCAACAGCACTGGCCTCTGCAGGACTCAAGTCCTGAAAGGTTGTCAGGAAGGAGCCAGCAGGGAAGGGAAGGGGCTTCATGGGAGGAGTTGCTGGGAAGGACCATGGGGGAGTGAGGGGGGGAGAGAGAGAAAGAGAAAGGGGTGCAGGTGCAGGGCCTGTGACCCCCTTGTGGAACATGGAGCAGTTCAAGGTGGCACACAGGTGGGGTAGAGAAGTGGACAGGTAAGTGACTGCATAGGTACCCAGGAGCCAACCAAGAGCACCCTGATGGAGCTGGATTTCATTCTATAGGAGCAGCCACCGGAGCATGGCCTGAGGAGTGGCACAGGGAGGAGAGATGCATGGGATTCAGTGCTGCTGGAGCTGGCTGCTGGTGGGCGCAGCACAAGCTGTGTGGTGGCCTGTCCAT